CGAGAGATAACGTCGGGTTGGAATGGATCGCGACGGAGTACAATTCCCAGAAGTCTGGGAAGGCACTCATATCTCCACTGAAATCAGGGAGTTCTAGCTTAGGCAGATGAACCGTCTGGTCTAGATGTCCTACTGAACTATGTTCTGCGTGCTCTGTCTCTTTTTCCTGTGAAGTACTGAGGGTAGAAATTATTGTTTCCAATAGAGAAACCGAAAGTTCACCTCTTATCAAGAGTTCAAGACATTCCAAGGGCCGGAGCCCCACGGAACCGTAGCACAGAAGATTTGAGAAAAAAATGAGCCGCTCGAAGCGGAAGTAAAGACAAGAAGAATTCATTCGCCTTATATTCGCGCCTGAGTTTGTCTAGTATTCATTCACCTCCGCGACATTCCTGCTTGTTATTCTGACTCACTCATTTTCGGTCACTTCTAAGGCGGTACGACATCTGCTGTATCCCTAGTGGCAGGGGGTTATTACTTGTTCCAATTGCCACCTCTCAAGGTATATTCTTGTTCGTGTGATCGATCTCATTCGATCGTTTAGTTGTGATCAACTTCATTTCTACGTCGTTTCGTTGAGCAAGTTAGCTTTCTAGTGGCAGGAAGCGTTCATTTTCGTGTTTTGCCACCACATTAGGTCTACCTCATCATTGCTTACCTATGAGTTCGATTCGTTCTGTTGTCTCTAAGTTTAAGGGACGAAAACGAGGACTACTGGACTTGGGCTCTCCCCAGGCCACTGAGCGCCAGCGTGCACTTTTGACTGCAGTGGATCAATTGATGAGTGACGATTCAATTCCTTCGTATATGAAAACGATTGTGGACTATCTTTTGGAGGCGAAGGAAAAACTGGACAGCTTGGCTAGTGAAAATAAAGAACTTGTTGAGCAGGTGGATAAGCTTCGTAAGGAGAATGCTACCCTTCGTCAGTCCCTTTCACAAGCTTTGCAATCACATTCCATTATTGAGACTGGTAATGCTTCTACCCAGATTTCTTCCCCACTATTGCATTATGATTCTGATTCTCTTTCTACCTGTTGTGAATTAAAGGAACGTTCTCGTTCGTTGGTATTAATTGGTGTACCTGAGTCTTTCGATCCAGTTCCTTCGAGAATGATTTGCAATGATTTGAACTATGTCAGATTGCTGTTTGATTATCTTCATTTGGAATGTGCACCTATTTCGGTTTATCGAATGGGTAGGCGTGCTGTTAATCGACCTAGGCTTTTAAAGGTTGTCCTCCCGACTGCTAGGTTCAAAGAGGAAGCACTACGCCGTGCCCCTAAACTGAGGGTCTCCCAGTTTAGGGGCATTTACATCCGTCCCTCGCTGTCTAAAGCAGAGAGGGACAAGCTCCGCTCTTCGAGGCTAGCATCCAGAGGGAAGCCTGAAAACAATTCAAAGGTTCATTCCATAAACTTGCCTTCTTCTCCAATGCCTGGCTCTGATATTTCGAACAAGTCTATGGATATTATGTCGCCAGTTGTTCCTTTAAACACTCAGTAATTCCTCGGTGTTGGGTCAATAGTTGTAAATATCTGCTGGCTAATATAAGATCCCTCCCGAAAAATGCGGATTCGTTAATTTTTCACCTAACTGAATCCTGTTTTGATATTGTGGCTCTTACAGAGACTTGGCTCAAGTCTGCTCTTGAGAACTCCACTCTCTTGGGTATCTTGGGGCATGAGTACAGTCTTATCCGGTGTGATCGGATTCGCAAACCAGGTGGTGGTGTGGCAATTTTAGTCAGGAGGAAATTTTCGTATCAAGTCATATTCAAGGAATCTATTAGCGATTCTTATGAGCTTTTGTGTTGCGATATTTCCTCGCGCTGTGAACTGTGTAGAATCGCTGTTATCTACAGAACTCCCGGATGTTCACACAAATTTACGCTGCAGCTTTTCAAGGCCTTGACTGACCTGTCCACATGTCAGTATCCCTTCTTAGCAATGGGAGATTTCAATATGCCGGATGTTGACTGGACTGGCAATGATAAACGTAATATTAGTAGTCTTGCTGGTACCATTTTGCGCTTATGCAATAGTTATGGTTTACAACAGTTGGTCCTCAATCCAACCCGCGGAAATCATGTCTTGGACTTGGTTTTTTGTAACAGGTTTGAATTAGTGCAAAATGTGATCATAGGTCCTCCGCTGGGATCTAGTGATCATTTTTCTGTTGCGTTCAACTTTTACTTTCCTAAGTACAGTTGTTCTCCCACGTTGTGTAAAAGATTTGCAAAGGCAGACTACGCTCAAATTTGTGACTACCTCGCCAACATTGACTGGTATGGATCATTTCGCTGCTGTGGCAGCGTAAACGAAATGTATGAACTATTCATTTTTATCCTTAGGCATGTAATTGAGATGTACGTTCCTGTTGTTAAAATCCAAGGCAAGAGACCGTTTTTTCCATCATATCTTGTGCATTTCTCAAAACTATGTTCAGAGGCCTGGACGCATGCAGTTGAATCTAAGGATCCTGAGGACATGGATAGTTACCTACGCTTAAGAAATCGCTTCCTAAAAAAGCTTAACAAATTCAATTCGAGTGTTGAAAAAAAGGTCATATATTCAAATAGTAGGTCTGCTTTCTATAAAATGTTATCGGTGAAGCTTAAAAATCGTAATGACATCTGTACTCTCAAGGATGGTGAGGGAAACCTTGCATTTTCGGACCAAACTAAAGCTGAGTTTTTGGCAAATCATTTTGAGTCTGTGTTTTCAGTCTCAAATGCTGTTCATGATCCATCTCTTGTTTCCTCAGTGCCTTTATTCCCTGCTATGGATCAATGCTTTTGGATCCTTGAGGACGATATCTTAAAATGCATCCAGAAATGGCCTAGCTTGGTATACCTTTGTATTTTTTGAAGCGAGTTTCAGAGCAAATTTTAAGTCCCCTAAGGTACATCATGAATCTCTCTCTGATGAGAAGTGAAGTCCCTATCATTTGGAAGCATTCTTTTGTTACTCCCATTCCTAAAAAAGCTCCTTATGATGTACCAAGCAGCTACAGGCCTATAAGTATCACGTCAGTCATTGCTAGGGTGTTTGAAAAAATAATCAAGAAAAGAATTACCGCTCATCTTGACAAGTATCATGTGATTAGCCCTAATCAACATGGCTTTGTCAAGGGTAAATCCACTGTTACGCAGTTGATTGAATGCCTCAATGATTGGACTTTGGGGCTAGATGCCAACAAAGCTGTTCATGTTGTATACTTCGATTTCATGAAAGCCTTTGATAAAGTACCTCACGATAAGCTACTCCTTAAGCTGGATAGGGTTGGTATCCGTGGTATTCTTCTCAAATGGTTAAGTGAGTTCCTCACCAATCGAACGTTTCAAGTCCGTATTAATGATTATTTCTCGGAAAGCAAAAATGTTGTGAGTGGAGTTCCGCAAGGGGGAGTCCTGTCTCCTTTGCTATTTAACATTTATATTTTCGAACTTAGCTCTCTAATTACGTCCTTAGGAGTCGATTGCAAGATTTTTGCCGATGATCTAAAAATCTACAAGATTATTGAATCCGATACTGACTCCGCCAATCTTCAGAAAGCTATTGACATTGTTAATGATTGGTCCAAAAAATGGGAGCTTCCCCTATCCGTGGAGAAAACAAAGGTTTTGATTCTCTCGCGCTCTCCTACGACCTCCTCCTCTTATCACATTGACGGTAGAATTTTGCAAACTGTAGATAAAGTCATGGATCTTGGTTTCATAATCTGCCGTAATCTCAGTTTTGATGAGCACATAAATATGATTGTCAACAAGGCTACTAATAAGACCTATAATTTTTATAAAGCCTTCACTTGTAAGCACTCAGAAGTTATTCTTAGAGCCTTCAAGACATACATCCGTCCATTGTTGGAGTATGGGACAGTTATTTACTACCCTTACAAAAAATCCCTCATCAAGGCTCTAGAGAAGGTTCAAAATGATTTTACTAGAAAACTGATGATTAGGATCCATGGATATGACTATACGAAAATACCCCCAAGCGCTTCCAGGAATAAAATTCTTGGTCTACAAACTCTTGAAAATAGAAGGAAACGGTATGATGTACTCATGCTTTACAAGATTCTAAGTGGTGTGGTCTCTGTTGATAAGTATAAAC